AAGTGGGAGTCGGTAGTTTGATCATTAAAGGTGATTCAAAGGTAGTAGTGGAATGCCTGAAAAAAGGTGAGGGGTGATTTGGCAGCTTAGAAATGACTTTAGGGCGCTTCAAATGGATTTCAAAAGATATGAATGTTCAAATAAGATGGGTTAGAAGATCTACTAACAATTTGGCAGACAGTTTAGATAAGCAAGGGGTTCAAAGACAACATATTGGTTGGGCACAGTTGTAATATAATTGGGGGGCTAATCCTGTAATGGGTATTCTAGTTTCTCCCAACTTCTTGTTGTACTCTGTTCTTTTTAATCTTTAATGAAATTCTAATTTTTGTATTGCTGATAAGAAAAGACCCATTGTAGCTGTAAAATCTGAGGGTTCTCCAATATATATATATTTTTTATAATAAAATAAAATTCATTTATAAAAAAAGAGATTATAGGGGGAAGGTGACAAGGAATCACTCGAGAGAGAAAAAGAAAATCCCAGCATCAAAAAACATCAAAGTTACTCCTCAATGAATCTTCCTCCACACCTTCTCCCTCAACCCACACCTCCCCTCCTTCCTTTAAAAAGGTCTTCTTGCACCAACCTTAACATCTCTATCTGCAAGCCTCACCACATTTGGGCCACCTTCAAAATCTTCCTTAGGAACTACACTAGCTTTTCATCTCTCCTTGTGACTTTGCAATCCTCCTTTTCTTTTCCCTTTTCCTTAAAATTTTTCTGGACTCTCAAACACCCCTTTGAGTACACACACCGCAGAAGTATTCTGACTGTCAACACCATCCCCACCAAGGGACTTCTGCTTTATGGTTTTCTTGCTTGCTCTTCTTCTATACACCCTTTTATATTTACTGCAAAGGCCAGCTCCGACCAGCACCAGAWGAGATTTACTAGAACCCCTACATTTCTTTACATCCTCAACCCATCAGGGTCCACGGATACTGTTAAATACTTTCTTCTACCCAAATCAACTCTAACCTTACCCACTATCACTTCTTCAACTATTAAATTCTCCAGACACCTCTGAGAAAATGTACACTTTTCCTCCACACCAACATGGCGAGGCTCAGATATGTCATCTGAGACGTCCATAACTTGTGGCACCACATCATGAGAGGGAAAGGGGCAAGCAAGATTTGTCATGAGAAGGTGGCAATCTTGCATCAGGACACATACCTATTAMGTCCACATACCTATTTGACACTCCTTTTTTTTCTRAAGTCCACCATATAATCTCTTTGGGGACTCTCATATGTTTTCTCCAAACCAATGAATGCTATATGAAGATCTCTTTTCTTCTCTCTGAATTTTTCTCTCAATCGTTTCAATGAAAGAAGGTGGATTCCATGGTTGATCTCCTAGCATAAAACCAACTTTTTTGATATACTAGTTTCATGTTGTAATCTTTGCTCAATTACACTCTCCTAAAGTTCCGTAGTATGGTTCATGAGTTTAATCCCGTGATGATTATTACAACTTTGTAGGTCACCTTTGTTTTTTAATATATACACTATCATGTTCTTTCATTGAGATTTCATTTTATCTTGTTAAATAGTCCTTCAACTAGCAGTGCTTTAAACTATTCTATGCAGGAAGAGTTTCAGTTGGCATTGTTCAAGACAAACAAAAAAGAAAGCTTATTTGCAGATCGGGTACTCTTTTTTCTCATCAAACTTTATGATTCAGCTGGTTTTGTTGAATATTTTTTGGTTTAACAGTGGCATCAGATATAATATAATGGGTGGATTATCCTTCTTTATGTTTTTAGCTTMTATGTATAACCATTCAAGTATTCCGACTGTTTCAAGGTCATGAAATGAACTAGGAATCAATTAATTTATTCTGAGACATCATTGGCTGAACTTACAAATGAAACAAATACTGAAAGAGTAAATATTTGCCGTTGAGATCCTTATTGGATTTCTAAATTTTGGGTGATTCAATAAAGGGCAAAATATAAGATTCATTATAAAATAAAATTATATTTTTATATTGAACAGAATGGAATGGTGAAACAGGATTCATGTAGTTCGCCCCATATATTTCYTCATCATCATTATCATCTAACCGTTGTCCTAACTATGTGGTGTTGGCTGCGTGAATCCTGCCTTGCCCTTTCATTCTGTTCACTTTTCTCTGCTTCCTCATTATTCTTTCTTGTTCATTTATTAACTCCGCCATTCATGGTCTTATCAATTAAACCCAGTAATTTTGGAAGATAAATAAGGATWGGGCTAGACTGGAAGCTGGGGGTGTTGAAGTCTGTGAGCAAATCAAGGTTTATTTAGAATCTGTTTATGTACATGACAATGTTCAGGTTGATGAGGAAAAGTTTCATATTTCTATTGTGGATGGTGCTCTTCAGAATATGATATACAAATCTTGTCCATCAAGCAAGAAGTCTGAGATAGATGATAGTAATGATTTTGAGAAAGAGGTTGAGGAAGAAGAGGATCTAGAAGCTGCTGAAGATGTTATCCCARTTAATGAAGCTTGTAATGCACAAAAGATGGTTGATTTAGGTGTGATAGTTAAAAGAGAGATTTAAACTGCCAAAAATCTAGGCTAGTTCTTTTTAGGTGGTGAAGACTGAAGAGCTTTCTTGAAAAGTGTTTTTGGGGTTAGAAGAAAGGGACCAGGCAAGAGATTCTGAATTTATAGCCCTGGAATAAACAAAGTGTTATGGTAGAACAAACCCAAAACCTGCAAACAATTGACAAAAATAGAAAAAACAAGAAGAAAATGCAAAGGCAGAGGAACTTAAGAGAACACACACAGGCTTATGTGGTTCGGCTTATAACCTATGTCAATGGGTGAAGGAGCTGAAACTTCAAACCCCAACACACCCAAGTTCTTACCATACTTGCTCTTTTGTCTTCTCACACAAGCCAAAGATTACATAAAAGAGAAAACCCCAAACAACATGACGTAATGAATTT